GCGCGAGCTGCGCTGGCTCTGCTCCCCAGCACGCAGCTGAATGAGACCGGCGCCGGAATATGACGTCATATTCCGGCGCCAGTCTCATTCAGCAGCGCGCGAGGGCGGGAGGGCACTAACACAGGAAGCACCTCTAGTGACCGTCTGAGTGACTGTCACTAGCAGTGTCACTTTGAAGCAATGTAAACACTGCCTTTTGTCTGAAAAGTCAGTGTTTACGTTGAAAAGCCTGTAGGGACATGCTATAGACACCAGTACCACCACATTAAGCTGTGTGTGTGCGTCTGCTAGTGAGTGAGCTTGCTTGCATGCGTGTGCCTGCTAGTGAGTGAGCTTGTGTTTTTATGTCAATGAGCTGATGTATATCAGTAAGATTGTTTGTCTATGAGGCTGTGTATCAATGAGCTTGTGTGTGTCACTGAAATGTCAGTGAAATTGCCTGTGTCTGCATGTGCATATGCTTACTGTATAATTAAACGTTTTACCCTGAAAGGACCAATATTTTATATTAGAAAAAGCAATATATATATATATATATATATATATATATATATATTACTCAATCATCTGTCCTGGCAAGACATAGCCTTACATATTACACGCGACAATATATGGCGCAGTGACTTATGGGGCTGGCACAAATTTTTTTTCCAGGGCTGCTTTGTATCCCCAGTCCGGCCCTGAGTGTGGGTATATGGGTATATCTATGTGTGTATATGAATTTGTGTGTATGTGTCAGACACCAAACCATCGACACCAAACCTATTTTAATAAGCTAGAGGATTTTTTTGGAGCTTAGAGTATATCGTTAGAACCATATTTATCTAATAAGCAGAAAACATTAAACAAAGTGACATATGGATCTAACTAAAATCATGTGATGCTAATATGAGTCTGGGAAACAATGAATATGTATCTTTTCATTTTTCTTAAAAAAAATTTGAACATGATCTTGTGGCTGCCAAACATTATTGTCATTGATGCGTTATGTTGTGTTTTTACATTTTCTCATACATTTTCCCAATGCAAGTAGGATATTCGTTAACAGGCAGATGTCCTAGTTACTATGTAAATCAGGAAGTGAACTATCTAAAACGTCAATGCTGTCCCTGTACATTTAAAGAATTCACAGTATTTTTCACAGTGAACTTTTGCTTGCTGGATCTCTGGGGAATTGATATAAATATTGTAAAAAAAAATGTGTGGTGTTGGAAAAATTATCTTTTTACTGTTGTAGAATAGAAATAGCAATAAACTAAACAAAAACATAATTTTCTGATAATGTACGGAGTTCCATGGCAAAGAATAAGTTAATATTAATCCTATCTGTAATGTTATGTTAATACACATATTTGGCATAGAAATTATTTTATTAAAAACAAAATCTCTGGTTTACTTCAAAGCATACACAAATTACATCTGCAGCTAATTCCACTAAAAAAAGTAATATTACAGATTCCAGAGGAATTCATTTTAACATTGTTCCTCGGCGCTAAGCTCTCGTAAAAACAGAAATGCAAGAATTATATCTCGTCAGAGGCAAGCAATGTATTAAGCATGTTAATCCATGTCTGCTGCCGTGCTAACGAGAGAGTTAGATGGAGTTTGTAAAATGAGAAGATTGAGGGATTGTAAGTTTATGAAGACTCGAGAACTGCATTTTGTCAAACACTGTAAAAGCCATGCAAATCCATGTTACTATCATTGACATATTTAATTTTTTACTATTTCCTTGAATTTTCCAGATTTTTTTTCACGTTCTTGAAGTAAATCACAAGTCAACAGTGCTGTCCTTGTCATGCTGCTTCAGATGTCTGTTCAATCATGTTCTTGCATATTTATGAACAGTCCTCTAGATTGTAAGCTCGTTTGAGCAAGGCCCTCATCAATCTATTGTTCCTGTCAAAATTTGTAATAGTTTGTCTCCTTTTTTTTGTTAAAATTCCTTAATAAAATTGTAAAGTGCAGTGGAATAAGTTGGGGCTATAAAAATGTCAATAAAAATAATAAAAAATAATAATAAGGTCAAAGTATGTCTGCACAGTCACAAACAAGGTCACAATCCTGCTCTGTTAATTTGTTGCCTAATTACAAGCACAATCACAATCTTGTCCCTGCACAGTCACAAGAAAAGTAATAGTCCTGTTCCTTTCATTCATAAGCAAGGTCACAGCTTAGTCACTATAGACATTCTCTACTTATCCATACACCTCCATCACTACATCAGCCAGACGTGCTAACATATATATAAGCTATATCTGTTTGTATGTAATATAAGTATATAATATAGTATCAATATATAATACAAACATATATTATTACAAAAGCACAGAATCTTTTAAAAAATACATACCATGTAAGCCTAGTAACATATAATTCATTCTGAATTGAAATTTCTTTGCATGCTGTGTAGATCTGCTTAAAGTGTCTCATAAAGCTTTAGGGTGAACGTGAAACGCGTCAAGAGCCTTTCTAGGTTATTTACATGCTCTTCATCACCTCCCCCCTTCCCTTCTTACAGGTGCAAGGATCTCAGATTTTTTGTTTTATAAATATATATTTTTTTGTTATAGAATTATGTTTGATACAGTCTGTCATATATGAAGTGTGTTTATATTGTCTTTTGTACCATGTTGCATATTGCACAAATAAATTATCCACCTCTGACAGTACGGTCTATTTGGGAGTTTGGATTTTTAAAGTGTCTGCACTTTGAGCCAGTTAGACATAGTATGTGAGCGCAGTAAAACTTGTGTTGTCTGAGTGTTGTGTGAAGATTATTCCATATTAGCAGTTGCTTGTAGCAGCAGTAGGTGACCCCAGCATGTGTGCACATACTGTGGTAATATCCTACTGTAAATAAAAAAGGCTTCAAGTTACAGATAATAAAAATGTTTATACGTGTTAAGAAACATCAAAGCATTTCAAGGGAAATGATTTCATCAGGTGTAAAAACTAATCAAATGCAGAATCTAAATATAACGTTGTTGACCTGCAATTTAAAAATTGGCAGAGGTGGGACAAAAGTACTTTAAATCATGAATTGGTATAAAGCTGTCATCAGTAATAAAATGTTTTGTTAGGCACAGTGAAAAAAGCATCTAATGAACTTCTCTTTTTCTCCAGATTGGCATGCAGTCTAGCAGAGATGCCTCAGAGAGGGTGTATACATAAAGGGGTTTTATAGATAAATGGAAAATATGTGCCACATTTTCCAAATTTGAATCCTTATATTGAAGCTGTCAAACACTATGGAATACAATAACTAGTTTATTAACTAAAATAAAATACATTATGCACAAAAAAGGACCAATGGACATCAAGTCCAGAGGACACAGTAAAGTCCCTCTATGAATATAATGTAATAAAAACTAAATTTATTTATATATGTGTAAAAAGTAATTGAACCAAAAAAACAAAATAAAAATAAGAAACGTATAAACACAAAATAAAGGGGAGATAATAAGCTCTAAGTAAGAAATGTGGTAGAAGGGGGTTTAGAGCAATGGAGGCTGCTTGTAAAAGGAATGATAAGATAGAGACAATTATGAATCCTAACTGTATATAGGTTACAAGGTAGTTATAGTGAGTTAAAAATATATTCACAGAGAGTTTAAACAATATGGTACCTATAGGATAGTACAACAAGGAAATATATACAATGTAGAAATTAAATCCTATAGCCAAAGGATTACAAAGGATAATGTCTCTGAAAAACATTATGTAGCTAAGCCTTCATTGAACTTGCTAAACATTGGATCGAAGGCTAGGTTGGTTGTAAAACAGAGGCAAGTTTAGAGTAAATCCATCTGTTTGTTATCAGTTAGCTGTGGTGAGTAGAAAAAATATACTCACAGAAAGGTTGAACCCAATAGCTTAGATGCTAAGCAGTATAATACATATAAAATAATGCCTTAAGGAAATATATAAAATGTTGCAAAAATTCTATAACCAAAAAATTGTAAAAGGATACGGTCTCTGAAGAGAATTTGTATTTGAGCCTTCATTAGAGGACCACTATAGGCACCCAGATCACTTCAGCTCAATGAAGTGGTCTGGGAGCCAGGTCCCTCTAGTTTTAACCCTGCAGCTGTATACATAGCAGTTTCAGAGAAACTGCTATGTTTCACTGAGGGTTAATCCAGCCATTAGTGGCTGTCTCACCGATAGCTGCTAGAGGCGCTTCTGCAATTCTCACTGTGAAAATCACAGTGAGAAGATGCTGGACATCCATAGGAAAGCATTGAGTAATGCTTTCCTATGCGCTGTTTGAATGCGCGTGCGACTCTTGCCGCACATGCGCATTCGGAGCTGACGTTGGCAGGGGGAGGAGAGGTCACCAGCGCCGAGGGAGCCCGGAGCTGGAGAAAGGTAAGTGGCTCTAGGGGTTTTAACCCTTCAGCCCAGCGGGAGGGGGCCCCTGAGGGTGGAGAGGACCTAATGACCCTATAGTGCCAGGAAAACGAGTTTGTTTTCCTGGCACTATAGTGGTCCTTTAAACTTGCTAAATGTTTAGTTGACTTCAAGGTAGCTGTCTGAAAAAATTATGCAAAGAAGGCTAAACTTAAAAGGAAGAAAAAAAAATGCTTTAGACAAAAAACAAACTTTTCAATGCTAACTAAACAATTGCCCTAATGATAAACCCCATTTAGGAGAGTTTCCCCTCTTGAAACTTCTATAATACCCTTCACCAACTAACTATAGTGGTAACAAAAATTGTGCTGTGAGTTTAAAATAAAAATAGAGTAAGCCTGACGCGCGTTTCGGCGCTGCCAAAGTGCCTTCGTCTGTGTGCATGAGAAGTTCAGTCTCACATTGCCTGTCTCATGATGAGTAACCATGCATAGTGCTGGAATGGACCATCGCTTGGGATCAGCAGAGCAAGATAGAAACACAGGTGGCATGTGTAAGGCTTATGGGACATGACCAATATGATTCCTGTAATTTTTATAAATAACATGTAAAAAATAAATAAATAAACGGACAACTAACTTTTATTGACTAAAATACACTTATTACAACCATTTACGCGTTTCACCTTTAGGGTTTTCTCAACATTTTTACCATTTTGAGAAAACCCTAAAGGTGAAACGCGTAAATGGTTGTAATAAGTGTATTTTAGTCAATAAAAGTTATTTTTGGTTACCCTTCATTATAGGACCAACTCTATACTTATTTTTATTGCACTTTATACACTTTTTATTTATTTTTTTACTCCTGGCATTTTTATATCATATCATTATTTTTAGTTTATTTTATTTTATATTATACTTTTACTATTCCACTTTTTACTGCTGAAGTGTATCCCGTCCAAAGAAATCCTGAGGTGGGGATAATTCCACCAGCGCTGTGGCAATAGAGCAGTACCTGTCTGCTCTATTTTTGTAAGTATAATTTATTTTAACATATTATTGTGTTGTTCATACTGAGAGCACTATCTGCTGTTTTATATATCTCGTGGACATCTACTATCCAATACCGGAGAGGCGGACCTATCTCCCCAGCATAAACAAATAACGTACATCTGAGTATGTCCAAGCCTACACCAAAGAAATCTCAAGCCGGACGGACGGACCAACCATTTAAGTATATCCGTTAGTGGGGATTAAACCACTAAGTGCATCTTCTCCTAGAGCTGGTTAGAGTTCCAACAAATGTGAGTGAAATACCTTTCCTTTGAGTATATACCACATTTTGGACCTACAATATTTCACCATTGGAAGCTTTTTTCTCTTATCTTTTGTCTTCACATATATGGACTACCTGCCATAAGGACGGAGCGACACTTGAGGACTTATATTATATTATTGCACATCAGTGAGAATGTTTTAATTTATATTCTTATTTATTCGGATGAACCTTAATTGTTTTTTATCTTTATTTTTTATTTTATTCACATATTACTTTTTTACTCATTTTTGTCTAAGCGCAGCCCTTAACTCCTCTTTTTGTACAAATAGTAGGTTTTTTATTATTATTTATATGCTTTATATTGGTTTATCTAGTATTTATTATTTATTTTGTACTATGTATAACATGATAATATTACCTGTACCGGGGTTCCTTTAAGTTGATATACGCAGTAAAATGGAGTTATCATTTAGTATACATGCTCTATACCTTATTATCATCTCCACTGCCCCCTTTTTTAAGTCAATAGGGGGATATAATAATGTGTGGTTATTTGACATATATAGATAGAGGGTGAACTATTAACCTCTATTTGGAGTGACTTTATGTGATCTAATTTGGTCCAGACTGCCACTCTTCCTTTTGGATATAGTGCCTAAGTCTGCTCTCACTGCCTTGTTTCTTTTTCTAGGGTTAGGGGTAGGGTTAGGGTTAGGGAATTACCAAAGGCCCGAAGTCCCAAAGTACCGAATTGCCAAAGTGCCGAATTGCCGAAGTCCTGAATTTCGGAAGTGCTGAGAAGAACCAAATTTTTTGCCCATGCATATCCCTAGTCTGTCTATTGTTTAATATTTTAATTGACTATATTTCACACCAAAAAGTGAAACAAATATTTTAAAAAAAATGTATTATGACATTTCATGGAGAATTTCGAATATGCCCCCATCTTGTTTTAGAGCCCCACTAAATAAAGAATTTTACTTTCAAGCCTTCCAATCATCTAATAAGTAAAATAAAGTCATTTGAGGCCACCAAAGGACAACTGTAGGCATTATAACAGCTTTATTGAGATAGTGTTTCTTTAATGTTTACAGCGTTCCTTTAAAAGTTAGATAAGGCAGTCCCCACAATAAAGAACATTCAGAAGCAAGCAGGCTCACTTACTATACTTGTATGTGATTATAGATACATTAACAATAATATTACCTAAGGCGGCTGCCTAGTTACCAATAGTAAAACAGGGTCCCAGAGTAAAACTCTGTCACTTCACATTGCAGCTTATAGCAAGGCATTGAATTCAAAGCTTTCATATGAGAATCATTGGATGCTCACACAGAGCTCGTCATGCATGCGCATCAGGTTCCCAATGTTCCTCTATGAGGATCATTGAATTGGCCATCGATAGAGCAAGTGATACCTCCATGATGATGTTGCAGGAGATGGAGAGGAGAGAAGCGCCAAATGAGTCTCAGCTCTGCAAAAAGGTAAGTAAGCTTCTTTCTTTCACTGCAAGGAGAAGAGAGCCTAAATCTAACCCAGGACAGGAGCACTATAGTGTTGGAATCCAGGTTTGTATTTTTACACTATACTGTTCCTTTAAGATTGAAATGCATTGTTGGAAAAATTTAAAAACAACTAAACAACTTTTTAAATATCTTTATGTAATCTGAAGGTACTGATAGAATTACATATTTGTTTGTGGTGAAAAGGACAGAATTTGTTTCAATGAGTCAATAACCGACAAGGAGCAAAGATGAAGATGACCAAGTGCAGTATAATGAGCTGTGTATTGCCTAATTTAATTTTATTATTCAAACCTCACAAATAGATATTTGTTGAAGAACCACTGTGACCACCACTCAAACGTGGTCTGGTCGCATCGGTTCTTTGGTTTTAACCCAGAAATGTAAAACATTGCTGTTTAGTCGATATGGTATTACTTACATTGAAGGGTTAAAGACTCCTCTAGTGACTGTGGAATTGACAGCCAGTCGTCAAACTCTTTTTCTCATAGCTAACATCCATTTCATGGAGGAGTGCAGCGCAAGCCACAGATGTGCTTTCCGTCCCTTATGTTCTAATATGAGGAGCATTGGATTGGACAAAAGAGAAATGTGATTGTGAGGTAACGGGAGGTGGATCAAGCAACTACAGGAAAATGAGCTCCGTGCTGGAATAAAGGAAATGTCTGCTCTTCCAGTTTTTATTTAGACTTAGGGGGACCCTGAATCTAAATAAAGAGGATAACAACAGGAATATAAATTTGGATTTCTAACACTACTGTGTTTCTTTAAATATAAGGATAAGAAAAACACGTACAACACAACATAGTATTAAAAATCTTGGTAAAGTGACAGGTCCAATTTAATATCATTTAAAAATAGGACTATGATTACTGTGGTAGAAAAGTGTGACATCCAAAAATATTGGGATAAACAACATACCAAACACAGAAAACATGTCAAAAGAATTACATCTCTTCATGCAAGTTATGCATGAAAAATTAATGGAAGTAGAGCCGAGGAAGTAACAAAAAAAACCCAAAACTGATTAACTGAATTCTCCAACAAACAGAATAAGCAGAGAGCTTATGAGAGCTTATGAGAGGCATGAGTCAATCACAAGAGCAACAAGCACTAGTACAGTTGCAATGCGAAAATGTTGGTATGCTACATATACCCATAATATGACTAAAAGTCATAGAGATGGACTTCTGGAATAATAGAGAGATAATTCAGAGACAGGACACATTAAATAATACATGAAAATTAAGATGTTCTAAAAACTCCCATTAGCAGCTTTCCCTGGGTGCCCCTGGTTCGGCACTTTCCTTTCATGCGAATGGAACCGAACGCTAGCTTTCTGGCGGCCGTTCGCATGAACCAAACCCGCAATGGAACTAATTTCGGCATGAGGACTTTGTGGGTTCCCGGTCACCTCAGCGGGACTTGGCCGCGAATGTTACGGAACTGTTTACATTGCATGGACCTGAGAGCTATTTGGAGAACTAGGGCGCTCAGATCAGGGCTATTTAAAGATGTATTATTTCTTTCCACCTCCTGTGTTCTCCTCTTCTCCCCCCTCCTGTGTTCTCCTCTTCTCCACCCCCTACTGTGTTCTCCTCTTCTTCCCTCCCCTCCTGTGTTCTCCTCTTCTTCCCCCCGTGTTCTCCTCTTCTTCCCCCGTCATGTGTTCTTTTCTTCTTCCCCCACTCCTGTGTTCTCCTCTTCTTCCCCCGTCATGTGTTCTTTTCTTCTTCCCCCACTCCTGTGTTCTCCTCTTCTTCCCCCCTCCTGTGTTCTCCTCTTCTTTCCCCTCCTGTGTTCTCCTTTTCTTCTCCCATGTTCTCCTCTTCTCCCCATGTTCTTCTCTTCTTCCCCCCTCCTCCCTTTGTTCTCTTCTTCTTACCCCCTCCTCCCTTTGTTCTCCTCTTCTTCCCTCCCACCCCCGTGTTCTCCTCACCTTCCCTTCCCTTTGTGTAGTGTGGGTGGCCGAGCTCCTTTCCGGTCCGAGGTACAGGAGCTTTCTGTTTGCTGAGTGTGCACTTCCTGTCAGTTTGGCCGAGCACCATGGCTGGAGAGGAGCTCGGCCCCCCATGCTACAAAGGGAAGGGAAGGTGAGGAGAGAGGCAGAGCTGCAGACGCCTGAGGCTCTCTATAGAGCGCTCAGGTGGCTTTATCATTTAGAGGGCCGGCAATGAGAGCGCAGGGTGCCCCCTCCTGTATGGCGCCCTAGACGGCTGCCTAGTTCGCTTTATAGGAAGTGCCAGCCCTGGCTGTCTAGTAACTGTGAGGAGAAGAGCTTTAAACCACTGTTCAGCACCTTGTTCCAGCTTGTGGAGTATTTCACGGGGAAAGTCCTTGTAAGGACTAGAGCTCCCAAGACTGTGTGTTGTCCAGTCCCTTGGAGGGAATAGAGCTAGTCCCCTACCCTGTTCCAGGACGAAGAGGCTCCAGGAGGATCCCAATCAAGCCACAGCGACTGAGGCTGAAGCACTGAGGTTTTCTCCTGAACCAGCTAGGAAGCGGTCCTTGGCGGAGGTACCCAGCCAGGGTACAGGGAGCTCCGCTACACTATCTATATAGCTATCTATCTGTCTATCTATCTATCCATCTCACAAAAATGATTGTAGAACTTTACATCATTGATGTGATATGTATGCCCAAGCAATTCTGTGTTTTGCTAGAAACCTAACCATGATATGGTTTTTATTTTCAATCTAAAAGTTTTTTTGTAACACAAAAACATTAAGGGTAGATGATATCTGGTTTTCAATTATATTATTATTTTTTTATAAAAACACAAAATGGAAAATTACAACCTTTAATTACATTATGTGAAGAACAGTTGGTTTAGGTTTGTAGAAAAACTAAAGTGCTGATTGTCAACCATTTTAGATGGTCAGTTGACCTGAAGGACATTCCATCTAAAAACTGTTTTTCATTTATTTAAGTGCAGATGCGACTTTTGACCTCAAGCAT